TTGCTCCCAAACTGACCTTATCTAATACTTTAGTAAGCTTTAATTTAACTGTGGAGTCTGGAGAGCATTACCACATTTACCCATGAACGTAACCTTAAATTCTTAAATTTCTTTTTGCTTTTTTATAATTGTAAAAATTCTGTGGCATCCTAAATGTACAGCTGAAGTTAAGAGGACTCTAAAGTTATTTCATTTATGGTTTTAAGACCACATAAAATGAAATGGTTAGTATGATGGTAAGTTTTAAGGGCATATATAAGAAAAGACACATTTACATCGTGCCAACAGCAATTTCATCTTAAATCCCCAATTAAAATGTGACTCTTTAAACTCCAAAAGCTCCATGTGTTGATTTAGCCATCTGTTTAATGACACAACTGCCACTGATTTGAGCGAAGATAATTATTACAGTAAGAACAGTGCTGGAGAAAGATCAACTCAGATCCCAGTTAGAATGTCAATTAATTATGAAGAGATAATTAGAATGGGTAGGTACCATTATGTTATATACAGGTAAATAAATAGGTAATAAATATTCCCAATCCAGGTATAGATCATGTGGATTGTATAATTACATCCATTTTGGATTATTATTTTAAATCTTCTGAGAGAGAGATCAATAGTATATATATATATATATATATATATATATATATATATATATATATATTTGCTGAGCTATCTTCAACCAGAGGAGGTGCTGTTTTTCATAAATTATCTATTGAATTCATTGCATTTGGTTTTTGCATCAAAATAGTCTTATCTCTAATTATTACATGGAAGCTCTGTGTTTTATGCCCACTCTTACAAATGTAGGGAATCTTCAACATTCATTCCTGGTGAAATCTGTGACTATATCCCCTAACACACTCTGCTAATTATGTTTTAGAAAGACCATACTGTGGTAATATTAGAATAAACTCTCAACTATCAAATGTAATGAGGGAAAGGAGAGTTCAGATGAAGATGACTCTCAGAGCACATACTAAACACTAGTTTCAAATTTCTCTGTATATAATTACTTTTATAAGGAGAAAATTGATTAATTTCCTTCTCACTGTCTTAATGTTAGTACTTTTGAGTTGTTAAATGGATAGAAGCCAAATTATAGAGATTTTTTTTAAACTTTCATCTTTAATATCTTATAACCAAATACTGCACACTTGAGCCCTGTGTGTATTGGGGAGCATTGGCATTTATTATTGGCTCATTCATATTAAAAGCAAAAGGATTTTTAGCATGATTATCTCACAGGAGAGAAAGACTTCTCCACCTGGCTCCTGTATTCTCATTTTAGGCATGAAATTAAGTTTGATTATGTTTCATGTATAGTAATTTATTGACACTTCTGACTGTATTAACATTAAAATTGCATTAACTCCGATTGTATCAGTTAAGGATTTGTGGCATAATTTAGATAAGTTACATTTTTGTCTTTGTGCTATTAATGAAGATTGTAAATTTCATAATTTATAGAACTTATAGGAAATATATTAAAGGACATCAACCACTTTAAGTGAAGGGTGCTAGGGAGATCCTGATATATTCTTTGCTAAATGCAATGTGTAGTTAGCTGTGATTGAATTCTCTTACAGGAATGTGTAGTATTTAAGAATTATAGATTTATTTAAACTCACTGGGGCCTTTTAGTTGTAAAATATGAATGATAGTTTACTAGGGATCATAACTCTCAGCTTATCCTCAGACTTAGATCTGAATTCAGATATTTCCACATACATTGCTGTATAATTGTGAGCAAGTTATACAATCTCTCAGAACATCGATGTATTTTACCTAAAATGAGTAATATAAGTGCTTTTCTCAAAGATTGTTTAGGAGATTAAATTTGATAATAAATCTAAGCTTTTGATATTAATACCTGAATGTCCTAAGCACTCAATATGAGTTAGGTATTACTAACATTTATCTAAAAATTATTTTAGGATGGTACTGTATTTCTATTCTCAACATTATTGAGATGTAGTATATTTCTGTAAAAAATACATTTCAAATATATTTTTAGACTGAAATACAGATTTTGTGATTTATTCTGCCTTTTTCTCCAATGAGCTTGAGTTAATGATGATTATAATACATCCATGTAAATGGCTACCTTTGTTCTGCTTATTTCTTAGTTGAAAACTATGGTTTGTTTATAAGGCTTTTTAAAAGATTTTTTTGTTTTATTAATGACAAATTATGTAAAAGTACTAAGTATACAACAGAATTGAGGAAAAGAGTTGAAAATTAGGAGACATGATACCTAAGTTATAGATCTAGTTCCATTTGTCCTTTTGCAATTACTTGATCTACCTAGGTTTCAGTTTCTTCAAAGTTGAGGGAAGAAACTTGTATTAGATGACTTCTATGACCACTGAGAGTTGTCAACTTACGATCCTACAATAAACTCAGAACAAATCTATTTTTTAAATTATACTATTTATCTACGGGCAGTGTTGAATCAAGTATCTTTGCTTCTATTTTTTTCCCACTCAGTAAGATAGTATGCGTGATTGCTTTATCTTGAAGTTGATTTTTACATATTAAGTTATCACATGACCTTAAAATGTATCTAGTTCTACTTAGCCAGGACATTACTCTAGTTTTTGAGAAGACGAATATAACACATCTAGGGAAGATTCAACTCTCCCCATCATCTTTTCTGAAAAGGAAATTACATAAATTTTTATGCATAACAACTGTTACTGCTTTAGTAGAAGTCAAGTAATAAAAGTTGCTTTTAAAAATTAAAAATAATTTGAAAGAAAATGCTATGAAATAATGTTAATTGAAGGGATATTTTACTTATGTTCTCCCTATTAAACAAAATTTTATGCATTTAAGTTACTTGTGTGCCTATTGATACAGTGTAATTATTTAGTAAAATTCTATAGCTTTATATATTCCTAATTTTGAATGGTGATAACTGAAAAAGAAGGGAGGAAAATCAAGGTAATGAACCAAAATACCTCTCTCTGAATCCCTTGTGGCTATCAATAATTAGATTAAGAAAAGGAACGTTGTTGATATTTTATTTAGATTCTCTTAATTCCATCCCTGGAAACAAATAATTTAATAATGTAGTTTATAAACTCTCTCTCCTATTTGAGCTAAATCAAATAATTTGTTTTATTTTTTGATAATGTAATGTTCTTATTCTCATTTTTCCTATATACTTTTGCCTCAAAAAATAGCTTAATCAAGAAAGATATCAATGAATATCTAATTCCCATGTAGTTTGGATTACATTTTTGAGTCAGGCAGTGATCATCTTTTAATGAGACTGATTTTATAGTCTAATTTATTTGGCTTTGGACAATATTTTATTTATACTTATTGAAGGAGAGAATGAGATGAAGAAGCAATATGAGTTTTGAAACTATGCTTACATCTTTATGACAATTTCTTTTAGGCTTGCCTCATCTGACCCTCTTTTCTGTTCTAATTGCACAGTCCTGGCTTTCTAATTCCTTCTCAAAATGCTTATATTGCATTTTTTCCTGCCACCAACAGACCTCTTCTCTTCTCTTTTGCAAAAATAACATTACAAATATTCTACTGCTTTATTATCAAAGTTATGTAGCCATCGTTTGAGATGTCCCATGGGGTTAGCAGAGGAGGATGTACCCTATACCTTTTCTACTTCTTGCCTCCAGAGGATACTTGAGAGGGGGAGTAGTGAGGAAATCTGCTAAGGCAGCTGCAGAAATTGCTTCCTAGTTCACCCAAGGTCAGAGCCTGGTCTCTGTCTACACTATACAAATTTAACTGTGAGTGTCTGTTAAAAGGATGTGGTCTGAATCTAGAATATTATTTGAGATGTAAGCCCTGTGTTCAATTTGCTGAGACATATTTTACATGCCAGAGTTGTTAAAATGAGTCATGTAAAAAAAAGGTATGTTTCAATTTGTTTAGAAAAAAATTCAAAATGTCTCGATTAGTTCCGTTTTCTAATAAATAGCATTCACACATATTTTAGACTGAGGCTTTGAAACCCCAAAGATGGCATATATTATATATGCTCTATTCCCAAAAGATACATTTATTTCATAATTCCACATTGTTTTACTAACTCATTTGGTTTTGTTTTGTTATTATCTATCATTTGCTTATCTTAATTTAAGAAACTGTTCTATATCATTATTTCATCTTTCATTTGGACGACTTTGCCTGTAATTATGGAAAAAAGAATGAAAATCTTAATTTTTGTTTTGATTATCACAAATGATATTGAGAGCTGCAAACAATTTGTAGTTAATTATGAGTTTAGTTAGAGAATTAATTACTTTCTATGTGGGCTACACAGAAGATGGATTTCAACACATACCTATTAAATTAATATTACTCATATTTTATAAGTAAAACAAAACATGCATGTACATATAGGCAAACATATCTCACATCTAAAGAATTCAACCTTTAATATATCAAAATATTTTTTAGGACTGACTTTCTAGTTTTTAGTTATTTATATTTAAAAGCATTTTAATCACGTCAATTGGGTCACACTATAGAGTGTAAATATTCATAATATTTTATATTAAGATTGTTTGACATGGTCTGAGTGTCTGTCAGGTTTTGTTTAACTCTGTTTCAGCCCTGTCACTTGTTTTTGTTTTGTTTTGTTTTTTTTTTTCTTTTTTGTGCATGTCATATGTTATAATAGAATTAAAGACCTTGGTTTTTTTGCAAAATCCAGTCAGCAATTTTGCCACAGCCTGTTCAAACTCCAGCTTCATGGCCCAGGCTAGATACTTGTGAAAATGGATCTATGGGAATGAATGATGGATCTGTTTAGCAATGATAGCTTTAACCTCTAACTAGCTTTCATTTTTCATCTTTACAATTTCCATTTCCTCTTTCTATTGAAATAAGTTCAGTTGAAATAAATGGATACTCCTGCGCGTGTTGATGATCCTGAGAGCTCTTCTGAGAATAGCACTAGCCTATTAATGATACTGTTAATAATTTTTTCATATTTTTCTCTTTTTTTCTTTTAGTCTCGACCTATTCCTTCCCACCTTACTTCAGCAGTTGCAGAGAGTATCTTGGCTTCCGCTTGTGAGAGCGAGAGTAGAAATGCCGCCAAGAGGATGCGTCTGGAGAGACAGCAGGTACTGAGGCATCTCAAAATCTGGTGAACACCAGCTATAGCAAATGCAGCTCATTTTGATGTATGTGGAAGAGTGAAAGCTCTTGAATGGATTTAAAATACACAGAGATATAGTTTTTGTGTCTTTATGATATGAATTTAACCTTGAAAATGTGTATTCATGTGCTCAGTGAAGGTTAAATTACAAAATATTTCTGTGGTGAAAATGAACATTTGCAAAACTAACAAGTAATAATTCTGTTTAGTATCCAATTTCAAGGCCAATTACTTATTAAGAGGTTCTAACTGATCATTTCCAATACCTTTGTAATTTACCTCATCACTTATGAGGGTGACCTGATCACATTCGTTTTGAATGAAAATGAACCAACCTCTCTTTAATGTCCTCTGCTCTATTATTACGTGCCAATACCTGATGCTGGGAGTGGTGACAGTACAACCCAACTTTGAAAGGCTAGAAAGTCACAAAACGAGGGTATATATAATAAAAATCCACGACTTAGGCTTACTCTGTCATTCTTAATCATTTTATTTTATGCCAATTGCATGCTATGCTATAGTATCTCTTTTTGAGGGTGTCTGTGTAGTGTAGATGTTTACATTTTTTGTGCTTTGCTCACTGGTGTTTCCCTCAGTCCTTCCCTTGGGTTATCTGTAAATTTCTGTTTCTCCTTCATATCTCAAAAATGTTTTTCTCTTTTTTCTATCTACTTCCGTTCTTAATTATCCATAGTAAAAATCTAAATTATCACACGATATACTAAGTAGTCTGCATAAAATTTTGACACATTTTCATTTGTAAATTATTTTTACAACAAGTGAATCATATGCTTTATAATACTAATTGAGGATGAGATGAGTCAAGACTAAATTAAGTTATTCCAGTTTTGTTTCCGCTGTAAGCCAGTGGACTTCAAAGAAAAAAGCAAAAAATGTTTTTTCATTCAATAGAATACTTCAACATGTTTTAGAATGATGTCAGCTTTGATTTGATGTGTTTATTACTAAAATGTAATGTGCTAATAATTCTAAATGCTGCAAAAGATAAAGCCTTCTGTTAAATGAAAAAATACAGTATTAGTCTCAGATAAAACTATGTGAAAATATCAATTTAGAATTTGTTAATCATGCCACCAGTGTTGATTCACATGTGCATGCCCCCTGCTGAGAGTTTTATCATTGTTATATTTATAAAATATATTTTATACAATGAGTTATAGCACTATATATAATACCATCTGGCATAGTGATTAGGGGAGCACGTTCTGGAACTGGGTTTGAATCTCATTGCTACCTTTTCTAATTGTGCAAACTTCAGCAAGCTATTCCAGTTCTGCTTGCTTTGGTTTCTCCATATGAAAGACAGCAATAGTAACAGTACTCAACCTATGGAGTTGTTATAAGAACCTTAAATGACAGATTCATGTTATGTACTTAGTATTTTGCCTGGTGCATAGTAAGCATCAATAAATTCAGTCTAGAAAAGACTTTGATGCCTAGCTGTTTTGTCATTGCACTGGCATCAGTTAACTAGAAAGAAGCATTAATACTACTACCTCAGACATTGGAGTTTCAAAGTCAAAGTCCATTTGAGAGCAGATGCTGGTTCTAGATATTGGAATTGTAGAATTCTGAGACTGAAGGGTTCTCCTGGTTGTTATCTAGCCATATATCCTACCTACTCTACATTCTAGAATAACCCTATATAGTTTTAATCATATGTGTAGTTGTTAAAAGAATGAAATGACTTATTCATGTTATATACTATCTATAATGTCACTCTATAATATTCTCCAAAGCTGTTCATCAACTGATATTTGATCTAGTCACTTAACTACTGTTGGCCTATTCTGCAAAATGGGAGATACAGATATCAGATTCATAGAGCTATTGTGAGGAGTTAGTAAGTCAATGTGTATAAAAGCACTATGTATTTCATAAGTTTATATATTGTTAAAGATATATTTGTCATTTGCTTCAGTATCTCAAATCTTACCCTGGTACTAAAGATCTTCTATTTACTAACACACTTTCCTACTGTCAGAGATTCAACATTGTTTTTGAAGGTCTTTACTTGAGCTCAACTTTACTTCATAGACTTTCTACCCACTGAAGAAAAACTTCTAGAAATAATTAAAAATGAGACTTCCTACTCTTGCTCCAGGAGTAGAGACTATAATGAATGAGGACCAATGGTCCTTGGCCCTATTGTCTCCTTTTTATTTGCCCTCATATATTTATTGCAAGCCTCTGTTATCTAGGAATGAAGGATGCCCAATATTATCTCCACATAGAGAAATGCCATTTTCAAACCCAAAAGGATTCAAATGGCTTTGGACTTGTGGAGAATAATGAAGAAATCATTTTTTAAATTTAAACGCTAAGATTTACTAAAAGCCTATTGGACAGTTTCTAGATACAGTTTCATTTACCATTCTCAACAACCCCATGAGAAAAGGTATTATTATTCTGATTTACATGTAAGGAAACTGAGGCCCAGAGAAGTGAGATGATTTGTGCAAGGTCACCAGCTGCACAAGAAAGCCAGAATATAAGTTTATATTAGATAAAAGTGATGCCTGAGATCTTTTCACAATCCTGTAATGCGTTTTCATGTATTATCTTCATGAAGGAAAAACCCATAGCCTAGAACAAACATTTAGAACTTTTATTATTTGTGCCTCTGTTTACAAGGTTTTGGCAGTGTAGTTTTCTTCTGGAAAATGATTTACTTTTATTTACAAAGATATTGTACTTTACCATAACTAGCAATCTAGATTTCTGGATATGAGCCTAAAAAAGGTTAGAAATGTCCCCATGTGCTTCACTTCATCTGGAGAACTGTTTACACATTGTAAACACTAGTTTAGTGTTTATAATTAGTATCTCAAAAGTATGTAAACTATTTTTTCTTACTATAAATTCTATAGAATTCTTCAGCTATGCCACACAGAGACTTCTACCAAATGATTCTACTTCCTACCAAAGCATGGAGTTGGTAGGGATCCCTCTACCAATTGAATCAAAACCCCCTTTCCCTAGCTGGAGAGAGCCAGAGTTATTTTGCATGTTGGCAAGGATATCACCCTTCCTGTGTGCATTCTTAACCCGCCTCAAAATTCTTAGAATTTTCCAGTGATTCAGAGATTCTTCATTTTGCCCCCAATTTTCTGTAAGTGCACAAAAGTGCAAAACAGGAACTCTCAAAATTGGCTTTCCGTTAAGCCTCTCATCTGACCACTTGCTGCCAGTGGTTAGCCTCATGTGGAGATGTAATTATGTATGTCTTCCAGAGTTTGTGAAGCTCAATGAATTAATTGGATTTTATAAAGCTCTTTGAGTTATAAACATGAAAGCTGGTATGGATGTGTTAAATACCTTATTTCATATGTCCATTTTGTACCAAAATCCAGAGGAAGCTTGTTATTATGCAGCCTCAGCCCTGAAGCAAGCCAGTGGCAAGGACAGGAGCCTGCTGCTTCATCAGAAATCAGTTTCTGCAGAATTCCATTCCCAATGCAGTTTGGCATATATGTAGCATTTTTATTTAACATAAAATCTGTATTTTTTATATTATCTGGGAAATTCTTCTTTACTTTGATAATGCAGAGGGGCAGCCAGACTTCACATTTAGAGTTCTATGACATAGCTCAAATTTTGTGGGTTCTTTTCTCTATATCTTTATTTAGTAATTATTTCTTTTTCCTTAAAAACCAAAAGATCTTATAGTTATTGGTTACATTTCATTTGAAGACAAAGACAGAGGCAAGAAGTAAGAGGGATTAGAACCAGCTGTTTGTTGGTGATTTATCTTCTATCAGTGTATGATTTTTGCTGGTTTTGAGGGATGACATACATTTTAACAGGCTTGATGACTGATTAATGTAAAAAGTTTCTGGATAATGTGAGGGCTTCCTTGTTATGTTTTCTGCCCTTAGTGCTTTTAGTTAAATTAGTTTGTAATTCTATAGAAGAGATTTACTTAAAACCACCAGTTAAGGGCTTCCCCAGCAGGAGCCCAGCAGTTACTGCCCTAGAAGGACAAAGCAGGAATGCTAAGTGACAATTTTTGCAGCAGCTAGGACACAGGGGAAATCAATGGTTGACTATGATGTGACACCTTTGACTCTATTGAAAAGAACACAGTGAAGGAAAAAGGCAAATGGCATGTTACTAACCTGTGATGTAATACAAGATCAGGAAGAAGAAGAATAAAGTACTGAAAACTTACACATCACTAAGCTACAAAAAAAAAAAAAAAAAAAAAAAAAAATCACTGCTGATAAACCAGCATGAATTCAATGGCTTAGGACCTAAAAATATTTGCTAACTTTACAATTCCTTGCTACTGTTTTTTCCCTTAGTAGTGGTGAATTCTCTGTCATCTTTATCTCTTCATGATTTTTCCTTTTTCTATTTGGGTACTAATGAATTGGAATATTATTAAAAGAAAAGTAATGGCAGGTACAAAGCTTGAAAATGTAGTCACATAAGCATGGGGGCAATTTTATTACAGACTTTTTTTTTTTTGAAAACTATCTAACACACCATAATTAAGACATAGTTTTTGAGAGGTAGCTTTTCTTTCACATTTCATTCTATAGTTTTATGTCCTTTGGATAACATGAATAAACTTTAATACCTAAGTGAAGGCAACATCTTTTAATAGGACTTTATTCTTAAATTTAGACATTGTGATATTAAGAAGATTTGGCTTGAAACTTATTTCTATGTCCTACCAGTCCACATCCTCAGCTTTTTGCTTTACTCCTGGCATTTTTCTTTCTTGAACATATGTTAGGGGGGAAAACCTTGTACTGTTGAGTTTCTTAATGTGCTTCAACATGACACTTTGTTCATAGAAGAATACAAACTATATAGAAAAAACAAAGTACAGGCATTCCTCATTTTATTGAATTTCACTTCGTTGTGCTTCACAGATACTGCAATTTTTACAAATTGAAGGTTTGTGACAATTCCATGAGCAAGTCTATCAGCACC